AAGAGAGAAAAAGAAGAAAAAGAAAAAAAAGAAGAAAATAAATCCCTTTTTAAGAAAAATAAAAAAGTTGATCATGAGATTAGTTAGCATCTTTATTGACTATATGAGTTGTTTGCTTGTGAAATTGGGTAAAAATGAGAAATTGAGTTAAATTAGTAAAATTATGGTATACTTGGCTCTTCTTTGCTTGATATTATGAGTACTTGATGTTAATTGAAAGATTACATAAGGGTAATTTACCTTGATTCAAGGAAATGAAGTTGAAATGCTACATATATTTATTTTCAATCTTTAGATCATTGATGGTTGGAATTTTATATTGCTTGAGGACAACCAATGATTTAAGTGTAGGGGTATTTGATTAGAGTTTATTTTACGTATTTTTAAGTATATTTTATTAGTTAATTTTGGTTTGATTATTTAGTTTTATAATTAAATAACAAGGTTTTGGTAAAAATATACAACTTTTGTAAAAGTGGCTAATATGGCATTTTTATTGATTTTAATGGTAAAAACTTCATTTTCATGCAGGATTAATGATCCAATCACCAAAGGATGTCAAATGAGGTGAAAAGTAGATAATTGGTGATGAATTCAAGTGGTCAAAAAGAGAAATGAAGTGAAAAACGTTTAAGTGAAGAAGTGTGGTTCAAGACAGTTTTGGCACTCTTTGGTATTTCGACTATATCTGGAGGTACACTTATCGGATTGAGGTGATTTTTATATCATTTTAAAGCTAAGACAAAGACCTACAATTGGTATGAAGAAATCAAAATCTAATTCTACTAATTTCATGGATAAAAAGTCGAAATACAGAATCTGCATTCTGTGGTCGAAAATCGACAACCTAGCAATGGCTGCTGGATATCAACCGCCTAAATTTCAACAGTTCGATGGGAAAGGTAGTCCAAAATAACATGTGGCTTATTTTGTCGAAACCTGCAATAACGCTGGAACCTATGGGGAACTGCTAGTCAAACAGTTCGTCCGATCCTTAAGGGGCAACACGTTTGATTGGTACACCGATCTTACTCCGAGGTCCATCGACAGTTGGGAATAGCTGGAACAAGAGTTCTTGAATCGCTTCTACAGCACTAGAAGGACCGTTAGTATGCTAGAGTTGACTAACACTCGTCAATGGAAGGATGAACCTGTGGTCAACTACATTGATAGGTGGAGAAGTCCGAGTCTCAATTGCAAGGATAGACTGTCTGAACAATCTGTCATAGAAATATGCTTCCGAGGAATGCATTGGAGCCTAAGCTACATTCTACAGGGTATACGTCCGAACACATTTGAAGAATTAGCTACTCGTGCTCATGATATGGAATTAAGCATCACGGCCAATGCGACTGATGGGCTTCCTGTTCAAACTCCGCGAATGCAACCGCCTCGTCAAAGTAATGAAAGGCAGGAAAATAAAAAAGGGGGCAAGTCTCCTTCAAGATTCAGTAATAAGGAGTCCATGACAATAAACACAACTCCCATGAAAATTGCTATCAAGGTGAGTCGAAAGGTCACCGAAAAGGTAGACGCCCCTCAAAATAGGTCGATAAAAAGACCTACTCTAAAAGAAATACAAGAAAAGGAATACCCTTTTCTTGAATCTGATTTACAAGGAATGTTCGATAATCTTTTCAAGGAGAAGCTCCTTGAACTTCCTGACATGAAACGCCCAGAGGAAGCCGGTCAAGTCAATGATCCAAATTATTGTTGTTATCATCGTTTGATTGGCCACCCTCTCACTAAATGCTTTGTTTTTAAAAATAAAATTATGAAATTGGCCCGTCAAGGAAAAATTCTTCTCGAGAAAGATAAAACATCGGCAAACCAAACAACAATAATGTTTGGGTCTGTGTGTTGTCCGATAGAAGTTTTATCCACACCAAGTAGTGCTTTGTCTAAGGAGTTTGAAAAATTCTCAATTGAAAATGTTATTGAATATGACAATGAAGGATGAACTTTAGTTACTCGAAAGAGGACTTGCAAGCCAAAAATAAAGAAGTGCATCTTTTCAAAAAGCATTCGTTCGACAAAACCTAAAGTGATAATGAAACAACGAAATGCAACAAAACAGCAAAAGGGAGTGGTCACAACGCCAATTCTTTCAGATTTTCACCTTCTTCAAGAGATTCGACAGCCCGTGATACTGAGGGAATTTATATCCAAGGGGTATTTAAGTGATGATGCTAATAATTCCACTTCTTGTAATGTCGTCAAGGCTGAAAATCCTCAAATCACACAAATTGGCACTAAATTTGAGAAAAAACTCAAAATCGACGATAAACCACAGGTAGATTGTGCAACGACTATCATTTTTTATGATGACGATTTAACTGTTGAGTTCAAAATTCACAATCGACCTTTGTTTATTAGTACGTATGTCCGAGAATAAAAGATGAATCGGATACTCATTGATGGGGGATCTGCTGTCAATATTATGTCCGTACGTGCTATGAAAGAACTAGGAATCTCAAGCGATGAACTCTCCCAGAACCGCCTCATGATCCAAGGATTTAATCAAAGGGGCAAAGAGCAATTGGTCTCATAAGGCTTGAATTGCTCATTGGTGAGTTGTCTTCAAGTGCATTATTTCATATCATTGAAGCCAAAACCTCTTATGATATGCTCTTGGGATGACCCTGGATTCACGAGAATGAAATTATACCGTCTACTCTGCATCAATATTTCAAATATTATCGAGACAACATAGTTAAGAAGGTTGTTGCCGATGATAAACCTTTCACTGAGGCCGAGACTCACTTTGCTAACGCCAAATTTTACCTTCAGAAAGAAATAAAAAGAAAAGAATCAGTAAAGGAAGAAAGTCAAGATTTCAAGGTACCCATTTTGCGGTATATTCTAAGATCAAAGAGAGAAGAGAGTCAGTTTTCTTTTATCAGGAATGATATATTAAATGTTCCGCTCACCAAAATAGAGCCTGTTAAAAGTGAGAAAGCGAGCTTGCAAGGATTTGTTCGTCCCAAAGAAGAACCGGCAGTAGAACATTACTCGCTACCAACTAATCGGACTCAAGAAGATTTTGATCCAAACGCATATAGACTTCTTACTAAGGTCGGTTATAACCCAAATGAGAAGCATGCATTGGGAAAAGTCCCTCATGAGGTAACTGACGAGAAGACTCATGGATTAACACCTACGCAGAAAATGTTGAAGGAAAAAAGGCTATAATATTGAAAGTTCATCGATGGGTCTTGGTTATCAACCACCTTCTCCAGTACGTATAATGATCAAAAGGGCAAATTGTAACTACGTGAATGAAGAAATAGAGGTCACAAGCCGCAAGAGATCTGTGTTCGATAGGTTGGGAAATAATTCAAGACGTACTTCTGTGTTTGACAGACTTTACCCGCAGCCGAAATATTTGAAACCGACAGTCTATGAAAGATTAGGCAAAAAAAAGTAAGAGTACCAAGTTGTTAAGAAAGAAAATTTTACTCCAATAAAGAAGAATGGTACGAGGAAACGAGTTTCCAATTTCTTTATACATTATGGAGACTTGCTTAACGTAAGGATCGAAACCATCTTTGAAGAACAAGATCAAGAAAGTATTGCTTCTTGCCATCATATTACAATCAGTGATCCTGAAGAAGAAAAAGAATATGCAGATGACGCTCCCGCTGAATTTGAACAAGGAGTAAAAAATACAGTCGATGCCCTAAAAGAGATTAATCTTGGCACAAGTGACGACTCTCGCCCATTTTACATAAGTTCTTGTATAACTCCTGAAGAAGAGAAAGAGTATGTTGATTTGCTACTCGAGATGTCTTAGCTTAGAATTACTCAGAAATGTCCGGTTTGGATCCTAGAGTTGCTGTTCATAATTTATCTGTCAAGCGAGGAACAAAACCTGTCAAACAAACTCAAAGGCGCTTTCGGCCTGAATTGATTTCTTTGATAGAAAATGAGATAAATAGACTGATTGAATCTGGATTCATACGAGAAGTGAAATATCTAACATGGATTTCAAGTATTGTCCCTGTTAGGAAGAAGAATGGACAAATCCGAATTTGTGTTGATTTTCGAAACTTAAATGAGGTTTGCCCCAAAGATGATTTTTCGCTCCCCATCACAGAATTGACAGTAGATGTTACGACCGAGCATGAAGCACTATCTTTTCTCGACGGATCGTCTAATTACAATCAAATACGTATGGCACCCGAGGATGAGGAGCTCACTGCCTTCCGCACCTCCAAGGGAATTTATTGCTACAAAGTGATACCGTTTGGCTTGAAGAACACTGGAGCAACATATCAAAGGGCAATGCAAAGAATTTTTGATAATATGCTCCATAGAAATGTGGAGTGCTACGTTGATGACCTTGTGGTGAAATCAAAGAAGCAAGAGAATCATATTCAAGATCTTCGAAGAGTTTTTCAACGCCTTCGGAGATACCAATTGAAGATGAATCCTTTAAAGTGCGCATTCGGAGTCACTTTTGGCAAGTTTCTCGGTTTCATCGTTCATCAATGGGGAATAGAGGTCGATCGATCTAAAATTGATGCCATTGTGAACATGCCTGAACCGTGAAATATTCATGAATTGAAGAGCCTTCAAGGGAAGTTGGCATATATCTGGAGGTTTATCTCTAATTTGGTCGGACGATGCCAACCCTTCAGTCGACTGATAAAGAAAGAGGTGCCCTTCGAGTGGAATGAATCGTGTAGGAATGCTTTTACAAGTATCAAAACGTACCTCATGAATCCCCCAGTGTTGGCTGCACCCATCCCAGAAAAATCGTTGATTCTCTATATTTCCGCTCAAAAACGGTCAGTTGAGGCTTTACTTGCTCAAAAAATGATGAAGGTAAGGAGAATGCGTTGTATTACTTGAGTCGGATGATGACACCTAATGAGTTGAATTACTCACCCGTTGAGAAGTTGTGTTTGACACTTATATTTGTCATTCAGAAGCTAAAACATTATTTTCAAACACACACTATTCAACTCATATCTAAATCTAATTCCATTAAATATGTCATGACAAAACCTGTACTGTCTGATCGACTCGCGAGATGGTACCTCCAGTTCCAACAATTCGAAATTATTTATGTACATGCGAAGGCTGTCAAAGGACAAATATTGGTAGACTTTTTAGCCGATCACCCCATACCTGCCGAGTGGGAGTTGACTGATGAGCTCCTCGATGAAGAAGTGTTTATGGTCAAATCCCGGTGGTCGATGTATTTCGCTGGAGCTGCTCACTGTAATAGAGCTGGTGCGGGAATTGTCTTTTATACTTCTGAAACAGATATATTGCCATACTCTTTTACTTTAACACACCGGTGTTCAAACAATGTGGCTGAATATCAGGCGTTGATTCTCGGTCTTGAAACGGTTGTAGATATGAAACAGTTGCATCTTAGAGTCTATGGTGATTCAAAATTGGTGGTAAATCAACTTCTTGGTATTTATGATGTCAAGAAACCTGAATTGATCCCATATTATAAGTATGCAAGACAACTCATGGGATATTTAGATAATGTCACTATAGAACATATCCCTAGAAATTTCAACCAACAAGCTGACTCCTTGGCAAGGGTGACGTCCATGATCACTCTACCTTCTCATCAAAATCAAATTTCAATATGTCAAAATTAGGTCATACCTCCGATGTTTGATGAAGAAGATGATGGTGAGGAAGAAAATGCTTATCATATTTTTGTCCATGACATCGAAAAGGAGGATTGGCGTCACCTCATCATTGATTATCTTAATCATGAAAAATTACCAGAAGATCCTAAGAAAAGGGTTGATATATGTCGTCGAGCGTCACGTTTCATTTATTACAAAGGGACGCTTTACCGAAGATCATTCAATGGGGTGTTTCTACGATATCTTGGAGAAGATGAGACCATGCAAGTAATGGAGGAGGCTCACTGCGGGATATGTGATGCTCACCAGTCTGGCCCGAAATTATACTTTTACATTAAAAGAATGGGATACTACTGGTCAACAATGGTGAAGGACTGCATTGACTTTGTTAGAAGATGTCAAGTTTGTCAATTCTATGGCAATTTCATCCATCAATCTCCTGAACCATTGCACCCAACTGTGGCTTCTTGGCCGTTCGATGCTTGGGGTTTGGATATAGTTGGACCACTTCCAAAGTCTTCTGGTGGACACATTTTCATTTTGGTGGCGACAGATTACTTTTCAAAGTGGGCTGAAAGCGGTTCCTCTAAGAGAGGTAAAAAAGGAGAATGTAGTAGATTTCATTCGCTTGCACATCATTTATCGGTATGGAGTCCCGCGTTATATCATCACTAATAATGGTAAGCCTTTTTGCAATGTAGAAATGAACAAACTTTGCGAAAAGTTTCATTTCAAACAATACAATTCGTCCATATATTACGCTGCCACAAATAGACTCGCTGAAGCATTCAATAAGACCTTATGTAACCTGTTGAAGAAAATTATGGATAAATAAAAAAGGGATTGGCATTTTCGAATTGGAGAAGCACTTTGGGCATACCGAACTATTTTTCGAACTCCCACACAAGCAACCCCATACGCGCTTGTTTACGGTGTTGAAGCTGTTCTTCCACTTGAGTGTCAAATACCTTCGCTAAGAATCGCAATTCAAGAAGGGCTCAGTGAAGAAGATAATGTTCGTTTTCACCTTGAGGAGTTAGAAGCACTTGACGAAAAGAGATTGAAAACTCAGCAACGGATTGAGTGCTATTAGGCTCGCCTTTCAAAAGCATTTAATAAGCATGTCCGGCCACACTCCTTTCAAATTGGAGAGTTAGTACTCGCTGTTTGGAAACCAATCATTCTCACTCATGGCAGATAAAAAAAGTTTACTCCTAAGTGGGATGGTCCATATGTTGTTCGAGAAGTGTATACAAATGGTTCATACAAGTTGGTTGCTGAAAATGGATTAAGGGTTGGCCCCATCAATGGCAAGTACCTAAAAAGGTACTATGCGTAATCGGAACTGCGCGATACTCCTGGCCCGCATGAGCCAAAACTGTGGAAGGCAACCACCAATAGTGTAGTATGTAGTTAAACTGCTGAAACACTCCACCAAGTCTAAGGTGGTAAACAAATAGATACTCCTGACCCGCATGAGGTTAAAATGTGAACGGCAGGAACTACGTGTTATTTGATTTCCTTGTTGGGATACGTAAGCAGCTTGGAGGGCAACTTCTAAGTTCAGTTACATCACTCCAAATCAAATCCTTGTTCCTTGCAAAAAAGAAAAAGAATCTTCTCTTTCCAAAAAAAACATATAAAATAAATAAAGTGCTCCATTTGAGTTCTTGTATCTTAAAAAAAAAAAGATAAGGAACGGAAAGCATTTTATTATTAAAAAAAAAAGATAAGGAAAAAATTCATTACATGGAAAAAAATGGAACAAATTCAGGAAAAGACATGATGAAAAGTCTAAATGTCAAATTTGTAATCCACTACAGCTATTTTGCATGATTCAAGTGCAGATTTCATGTCTTCAAGTTCCTTCACTGCGTCATCAGTCAAGATGCCGTACTTTCAATAGAGAAGAGCTCATCATGTGTTCGGGCTACTTCAGTCCGGATCTCCTCAAAAGTTTCATGATTTTGATCGATAGTTGAGCTGATTTCTAGGCCTTGTTTTTCTAAATTGATAAGTTCCTGTTGCAACACTTTCTTCCTGTCTTCAATGGATTGCAACTTTTCTGCAAGACTTTGTAGATGACAAGTTAGATCTTCTTTTTTCGCCTTAGCTTTCTCGAGTCGGGCGATCACTTTGGAAAGGAGTTCTGTATGTGCTTCTTTACTCATCTTTTTCCATGATAAAGATGCCAAAACATCATATGCCTCTACCTTGACAAACAATTCTATCAAATAATCCTTGAAAGGGAGATCATTGGTAGGATCCGTTCTTGTGATTTTCGCAATAACCTCCTTTGCACACTCTTTTAACGAAGAGATCTGCTCAATAGGAGTGTCAAAAATCTACCCGCGAAAATTCATCCACAAACTCTGCAAATATCTCCTTCGATGCGCTTGGATCAATTTTTGCTCGTGAAATTCTGAAACCAGTGCTGGTTTAGGTCTCTTTCGGATCTCGTGCGTACCAGTTAACTCCTTCTTACACATTGGCGAGGTACCTCCACTGGGGATAAATTGTTTTGAAGTACTGATAGCTACTTCGTCACTTTTGTTGTTTGAAATTATATCATCAGTTTCGAGTTCGGGTGGTGAATTGTTACCAACATCTTTTTCACGAAATTCAAGAAATGGGGACTAAAAAAAAAATCTTACAAAATTTTTTTTTTTTAAAAAGGAAAGAAAAATAGAGAGATGATTACCTTAAGTGGTGACACTCCAACTGACGGTGGTGTAAAGGAAACCTCCTCCAAATCAGAGGATGGCCTCTTCTTTGATCGGTTCCAATGACGGTCTTGACTACTGCTACCGCTCGCCGACGAATGGGTTTCTCCTTGGGTAGATCCGATGTCCTGAACTTGAGTCCCTTCTTTTTCTATAGCCTCGATAGAACCACGATCGACCACCGTTTCAATTTCGATATCTTCTTCTGTACGATTCACGGATAAGGATTTTGAAACTTTGGGCGACGCCTTCTTTGTTGGAATCACTGGTTGCGCCTCTTTAATGGCCTGTCGAGAGTCCTTGGAAGGCTTATTTTTTATGACAATGTTTCTCGAGGGACTGCTAGTAATTTTGTTTTTTCGCAAGATGGATGGAGTAAGACCCGTTACAATCTCTATAGTTCCATTATGATGCACTGACTCGTTGGCAGAGGTAACCTTACCCTTTTTTGATGATTGCTAAGGGATTTTAACGGTGAATTTAAAAGAAGTTAAAGAGAGTCTATTTGACTGAGTCGACCACCAGGCGTCATAGTCTTTTGTGATCAATGGATGCTTCCTGTGCGCGGGTATAGTCATCCGAGACCGCGTCTGCGTGCACACTGAGGAATCCCATAGTTGAATAGCCTCACCCAAGGTACAAGTGTGAGTGATCTCTTTTAAGTTATTGGGGATGTCCTGATAGAAGCCGAATTGTCTGCTGAACCTGCAAGGATTATATTTTTCAATAATGAAAATATTGTCCTTACGTAGAATTAAATGGCAAGAACGTTGACTAATGAAGTAGCTCGTGAGTCTTGATGATAAGGATCCATCATCGATCAACATCTTTTCTTCATTCTCAGCCCAGCACAATTTAGGAAGTATCAAAGGATTCACTTCTTTGAAGATTTTCTCAGCTTCCAATTGGTCATAAAATATTGTCATTTTCTCACCACTAAATGTTGTCATGCGCGCGTGGTGGTTACTCACTTGATGATTTTCGTAATATACATCGAAATATTGGCCAATCCAAACATAGACGTAATGGATTGGAAAAGTTACCCCACATTCTCTAAGGTTAGGGGCGTGGATGATTTCCCTCAACCCATGATATATGCTCGCAAGAACGGGGATTGCAAGGTAAAATCTTTTCCCTGTGGCCATTAAGCATGCAACCTTGAAAACACTTGGGCGAATACAATCGCCCTTTTTGCTTGGCAAAAGAAACTTGCAAATCCAACACGTTATGAATGCCGCAATATAGGTTTCCTTTCTTAAATACCCTGGAATGTCCAGTGTGTTGAAAGGGAAATTGAAGTCCTTCGTATCAGCAAGGTAGTATGGCTCTACGCTTCCAGAGAGATTATAGGTCATTTTCGGTTTAGACGTGATTTTTCTTCTATTCGCCCTACTCGGAGGAGCCCTATACCTAGTCTCTCCTTTGAACCAGAAGCGAATCCAGTCCTTCATCCATACCCCTTGGTCATTCATCCAGGGGTGGTAGTAAGCTGAAAAAGATGTCTGCAGCTCTCAGGGAGAAGTGGCTTCCCTTCTTTGTCACGAGTAAAAATCTCCTGCGCTGAGGGAACAACCTCATCAAAGAACGAGCCATCGATCGAAAGGCCATCAAGTCGATAAAGGTCCCAAAACATAATGGACAACTCCCCAACGGGCGTGTGGAGTGTGTTTGTCGAAGGGCACCAATATTTGAAGAAGGCTCGCAAGATATTCTCACAGCGGTCGTAGGAGTATCTCGACGCATAGACAGCTTCAAATTGCCAGCACGGGTGAGTACTTCTTTATATCTTCCAAGGATGTCCTCAACCCACTCCCAATAATGAGAGGTGAAGTAGGCCTCGCCAAAGAAGGAAGAAAGAATCTTCCACATAGTTTTATCGATATTGAATCCCACGAACGGAAGCATGAATTTGGCTATTTTTGGGTCTCCATTGTGAAGTGACGAGTTTAATACGACCACTTCCTCTTCCCTCGACGTAGTGGAGAAAGTCGACGGTGCCACCACTTCCTTAGTCCACTTACTAGTCCAATCTTCGAGATGAAAGCATCCTTCGAGTGGTATGAAGGATTCGGCGAGCGGGCCGATTGCTGGTTTGTAAACATGTAGTGACAAGCTCTTTGATTGAGTTCCTCCCCGTTCATCCGTCAGTGAAATATGCGGCAGCGGCACGGTGTAGTCCTTAATTTCCATGATTGCTGGAATTTTGTAAAAGGAAATATTAGATGATGCCAGGAGCTTCGTGCAAAAAGTTTGGTAATTAAATTACTTAATTGGTTGCCTCTTCTCAAATCCCCGGAATTGTTTCGAACCCCTTTTCAAGCGCAGCTTGGGTTATCTACAAAGAGGCAAGTTGACAAAGTTTAGATCGAAATCATGTATAGTAGGAATATTTGGGATGAAAAAAGGGTGTGAAAATTGAGATCGAATTTTCAGCCATAAGGAATAGCTCGGAAACAATATTTTGAGCCAACCCTCATTCTCAAATAATATTTAAAAGGCATACATGATTTCGAATAATATTAAAAGTGCATCTCAAATAATATTGTGAGCCAATCGTCATTCGGTCAATTTCGATCTTTTAGCCGAGACCCAAAGCTTCATTCTCAAATAATATTTCGAGGATTTATTTGGTAAGGTCGTGAGACTCTAAGCTTCTCGATTGATTGAGGCTTCAAGCCGACAGTAAATATTGCAAGTAAAAAAAAAAAAGGGGCTTCAAGTACCTAGCAAGCAAAAAAAAAAGTGTTGGAGTACTACCAATGGATGACGGTTGATGCTTGCGGCTCGGCGAAGGTGATAACCAGCTTCAAATTATCTCTATTGATCAAAGGACGACAAAGCCGACAATAAAAGGCAAATAAGAGTGAGATAGGATGATGACAAATAATTGATAAAGCAGTTAAAATTTCAACAAATCAGTCATATGCCAAGGCATGCTTAAGAGTTCGGGTGTCAAGAAGATCAGTAACCTAGATGGGTGGAGTCTCAATTGTAAGGGATCATGTTTGCAATTGTGCCAGCTAAGGTGTTGTTCAGTTTGATGGTGGAACTTTAAAACGACACTTCGATTTGTCAGACATAAAGAGCCGGAGTTCCAATGCAACTTGGTAGAGCTACTTATAAAAAAAAACGTGCAAGGATTCATATACTAACTACTCACAAGTTTCGGGATTTGGGAATCATATTATCCTATAATGAGTCGATGGTTCAGATTCATAAGTTTGAGATATGGCAGCTTAACATGCAGGTTTCAAGTATTAGGCGTAGTTAAGACAAATTAAAATGAGAATGGGAACCATTGATACTGGAAGGCATGGATATTTGTGGACGAAAATTGGAGGCAACTACCTTCAAAACTGTGGTAGAAGCA